CGCCGTCCCAGACCGGCGGGCGGCGGGTACGGAACTGCATATATAGACGGAATGTAGGTATGAATGCACGAATGGATGGGTGGTGGTGAGTACGGTACTGCAACTACGGATGGACGGACGGGCAGGGAGACTGCAGGGATGGGAGATATACGGGCGGTTGGATCGGTGATGGGTGGGGAAACGTCAGGAATGGAAAGCATACGGACGAGCAGACGGACACTTTTCTTCCTGCAACTGCAATCTTTCTCCGGTGAATGTATACCAGCTCATCCGTCAAAAATGTTTCGAATTGGTTCCCCTGACCAGCCTGGCATCATAAAACCGCTTCTCTATCATGGTTAGACAGCAAGTTTTATCTCAATATCACTAGAGTAACAGCCATCTTAGTCACCACAACCCCAATACCAGCCAACCCCCGAGCATCGTCACCTCGTCTGCTCCCCACCCGCCCCGGCTGGGTCGGTCGGGCCGCGGAGGCACACGCTCTAAATCCCGAGTGGCTCGCCGCGCTGGTGAATCACGAGCCGTGCTGGGAGCATCACGGCGTCTGCCGCTATTCGGCAGCAGTCGAGCCTGAAGTCGTGACCGCAGACACTGAATAGTCTACCACCCGCAGTGGAACGGCTGAGTCGGTACTTTGAGTCATGTTTAACACTGGATGTTTATGGTGTTCTATGTATTGGACTTGGAACAGTAAACATTTTGTGCTTTATTCGAGTTGCTTTGTTACACTTCAGCAAAGACTCCGCCATGAACAAACAATGCAAATATACAAAAAAAACTTATTGAGGTAAACGGACGTCTCGTAAGCATTTCTAATATCATGCAGAAGTGAAGGTAAACGGTAGTCGGTACGGTCACAAATGAGCGCATTTTGTGGACTCATTAAAAACCATTATAGTCATATTATGTCCCAAATGACTTAATTTAGCACACAATTTCTGTTGGGTTTCATTGAAGTATGACAGGTGCTTTCTAAACCACACATATATGACGAATGACATTGGCAGACGGGCATTCGTATCGTACACACATCAGATAACATTCTTGCTAGACATAAATGAATTAGCTTAAATGTCAACAGAATACAAACGGGGGATTAATTGAGACGATACTGTCCAGTGCCAAACACAAATTTGGGAGACTGCATTGAAGCAGTGCAGTGTAACACCAGAGACTGCAATAAGGCACAAATGCGTAGCGCTGCGGGAGACTGCAGAAGCCCAGTGTAGCATAACACCACACGAAGAATGCAATACGGCACAGCTGTATATAACACATTACAGACTCGAGCTACTGTAGAAGTGCGCTCCTTATCCTTATATCATTCTGCCCATTTCCCTCTAGCCTCCGCTTTTCATGCTTTACGATCTTTTCCTGCCCCTTATCCCACTATTCCTCCCCTCACATCTTGGCCATCGTTCCATCAGTTTTCGGTCCAGCAAACACTAAAATTCATAGTCCTCAAACTCCCATATCCTCACACCGTGCGCTTCACTACCCTCTACCGTCCTTCCTCGCCCTCTTAACCGTCCCTCTCCCCATCCTCTACCGGTCATATTCCCTCTACCGTCCCGTTCCCTACCCTCTACCGTCCCGTTCCCTATCCTCTACCGTCCCCCCCCCTCATCCTCTACCGGTCATGTTCCCTCTACCGTCCCGTCCCCACCCTCTGCTCGGCACAGCCCGGTTCACCGAGCGCCGTGCGCTGTTGGCGGCTCGCCACGTGTCTGGTGTACTGTCTGGCCTACATACATTGGCGGTCCAGTCACCGCCGCCGTCGGTTGGTCGGTCAGCTCAGTTGGCACTTGGCAGACCTGTCAGCCGGGCGGTTGGTCGGTTGCCCCGAAGCGACCCTTTACAGACCGGTAGACCGGTGAACAGCTAACCGACGGATATTGAACGGCTACTGGACACCGGTCAACATTCACAGACCAGGAGGCCAGAACTGGCTACAAGCCACCATGTGGATACATATCTGGCCTGTAGAGGATGCACAGGACAATAAGTCCTCCAAATAAGTCGTATCCAGCCTTGCCGAACATTTCGAGCTGTTCGATGACGGTCACTGCACCCTTTGCTGATCCAGATGTGAGGACCCGCCTGTTTCGGCGTTGCTTCAATATCGTAACATCGTTACCACCTGCCCTGAAACACCGTCGTTCATAGGTGGACGTTTCTAGTCAGTGCATCGCCATCTGCTGACCACAATTCAAAGCTCGACCGTCTATTTCGACCGCACCTACTCCTAGCAACACAGTCGCCCCATTAAGGACGATGCAGCTTGGCAGTGGCAAACGGTGCTTGATAGGACTGACATCATTTCACCATGTTAGCACACATAGCACACACACCTTTCTTCTCCGTGTATTCACACAACTGATAACATTTGCAGGAACAGACGAAAGCTCTCGACATCGAGTGAAAACTACTCCTGACACGGTATAGTGTAACCATATTTCACTAGTTCCGTCTACGTGTCATCTCTGCGGCGTCTTTATCTTTCACAACCCCCGCTAAAATATTTCACTATCAGAGTGCAGCGTTACGTTGCTAAACTATTTCATGAGGCACTGAGTAGTAAGCGATAGCGCTGTTGCCCCCTAAAAGCGTGGGCATAGCTGGCAAGTTACCGTAAGCGGGACGTACGGGTACGATGAATGCAACAGTCACCGTAAGAGTACGATAAATGCAACAGCTGTCTGAGAAGTAGCAAGCATTACCGAGTTAGCCAAATAACGAAAAGAGCCAATTTGTAAAGTTCACAAACAATTGGCTGCTTAAGGTTGGCAGTCACTGCTTCTTATCGACGATCGCAATAGAACGCTGTATAGACGGCCGGCTGCTCAATTCATTGAAGGCCTTACACAGACTGTGCCCATGGTTTTAGTTAGATACAGCTTTTCCAAGAACTGCCTCATAAACATCACTGCAAACGTGCAATACCCAGCGAACGGAAAGCCGCAACATTTAAGCTCAATCGTCTTCCAAACATAACCAGCATCGTAATTCGTAGCGATGGCGTCCCATCCGTTCCATGACTGCATCTGGAGAATATTAATTCTTAACGATTTATCAGAGCGCTTACTCGGACTTCAAACAAAACACACGTAGGAATGACTGACACTCACGGAAGACAAAAACACCCTGCAAAGCCGGCAGAACAAGAGCAAACCGAATCCCAGAAAGCAGCACGCTTCTTGAAAGGCAGCACATTGCATACACATAAGCCATACATCATATCGATCAACAACGCACATTCCCGAACACGAGTCGGACGCAATCGAGACTATACCGCATGCGTTCGAGCGGAAAAGAAAGCAAACTCAACATCTAACGTTTACAGAGCCAGGTAAGCGCAGAATATACAAACTCCAGGAGGCAGGAACATTGATTTCTGTTCTCGCATGATTGGGCATCCGTTCCAGACATACGGCGCCCAAATCATTTCCAAACTACCAAAAAATAACAGTTGAAATTCACTAGGTACACACACATTTAAGAACACTCGTAAGATCTTCCCTTTCAAGCATCAAGCTGAAAGGATGAAGCATCAAGCTGATCTAAATCCCTAAGCTCAAATTTCAGACCATGCCTACTGATCTGCAACTCCTGATCCACAAAACCACCCCGAAGGGTAAGGCGGACAGCGGCAGACGACGCAGTGAAAACACGCTGAGGCGAAGTGAGGCGGGCTGCGGCAGCAGACGTAGTAGGGGTCGATATCGAAGCACAGCGCTCTTGCAAACCAGCAAACCAGCGCTGAGAGGCGAGCAACGTGGTTCCACGAGAGACGCCGCCAGTGGGCGGCAAGAAACGGAGTAAGGAGACTATGTATGGAAGTGAAAGAAACCGGCGGCATAATCAACAATGAACCAATCATCTAAGCTACATAAATAATCACAAAAATAGACGAAAATCAGTCAACTGGCGCTATCCACTACTCTGATGGAATCCTTCCACCGACATCTACTTTTTGCCGAACAATTAACATACCAACCCACTCCAACAAACAACATAGTGTCATTTCACGGTAACATCGGCCTCCCGACAGCACTTAACCAGCGCAATATGACGTAAGACCCACCAGTCACCACCTTATCGCAGTACCAGCACCGTATTCGACCCCCAGACCGGAACCGGTTTAGAAGTCAGAAAAGACCCCCTTCGAAACACCCTTCTCATCCATTCCCACACTCTGCCCGTCGGATCTCACAGGACCTTCCCATGCCGTACCGAATACAGCTCGTCTCCCGCCGTGGTGCCGGAGAGCAGACACGCTCTATGAACAGGTCAGGACAGCCACGGGAGCCGGCTCACACGTCGTCCGAGGCCACGAACAGGTCAACTCTGGTCTCCGAACCAGCCAAAACCGCCACGCTGGGCACCTGAAAACGGAACAGTCTGTGTTAGAACCAACGAGAGGGGAACCGGGGACTGGAGGTGAACATAAACGATAAAAGGAATGAGTGAAATAAATCGGCAAAATAAATGACCATGAGAACGTATACCTGAACGCGTGCAGTAATCGAAAACCGGGAATTTGTAGCTGCCACCCAACCATGGTAACAAGGACCGTACTGACCCGAGTTCAAAAATACATCCGGCGGTCTCAAGTGCAGATGTGATACAGGAGAACTCACCTGCAAGGTTGACACTCCGCTGATTCACCGCCACGTGCGGGGAACCCCTACAGCACTCCGACTTGATCAGGGAGACCGAAACATGCAAACAACACAGCATGCAGCGCATGAAGGGCACAACACGGGCACGGGTGATGCACAGGGGGTCACGGACTAGGCCAGGCACGGCCAAATACGGAATAGGGAAGGCGCGGAGACGAGCCAAGGAGGAATAAGATATCTTGGTAGATTACGTGAAAGTCTTGGAAGAGAGTTACATGAGTGGCGCAGCTCTCCATCATGTAGAGCAGTAGCGTCGGTAGAGAAACTCACCACAACGTATAAAACTATAATTTTCACTCAAAATATACGCGTATATCGAACGAGATGATATATTTCTGAACACCCACAATGACTGCGCCAGCCCCATCTAGCGAGCTGACCATTTAAGACTGCGACACTGTTATAGAGCGTCACACCGACACCGGTAGCTCGCGTTACGGTCGCGGGTCGAACGAAGCGGCAGGCGAGTCGCACCACACCGTGACGGAATTAATGTGTTTATTATGCCTGTTTGCTGAGGACGCTCTCATCCACATTGCTGCCCCAGTGACAAAATCGGCCGATTTATGCTCAGCTCGTTGCACGAACACCGTTACAACTCAACCAGAGACCGCAGATGTCCGCGAAGAGACGAGACAGAGACCGATGACTAGATGCCCTCCGACCACCATACGCGCTATTGGGAACACTGTACTAGGCGTCATGAACGACCGTCTTATATCGCGCAAGGCACCAGCAGCCACCAGAGGTACCCGGTAGAATCTATGGGCACATCTACATGGCGAATTAATACACACGATAACGCAGACATTCAGACGGACCTAAATCCTACGCCAGCAGCGGGACCCACCACGCACGATACACGCGAATATATGAATGCTATCTATATCACATTTATCAGCACCAAAGCGAATCCATCACCCCAATATGCACCTTTCCGAAGCTGTTGTCTGAGGTAAACCCGCGGTATTTAAGTAGACGCCAATTTAGAAGTAATTAGGATAACCCGATCACACATGAAGACGCGATTTGAAGTATGGAGAAGCAGCTTCTGAAGCCGCATAGAGTAGCCTCTGTACAACTCAACACAAATAAATAATATATGAGCTTTAACATGCAATATGTCATACAATATTGACCTTCATACAGGCGTTACGATGTGGATTATTTTACGAATAATGAGAAAATAAGTGAATCGGTATGAGGCACTTCGTACGTAAACTGCTTAGTTTTGGGATCATTAAATTTAACGAAAAGACCCGCTATTTGTTTAGCTTTCCAGAATACGGGAAAAATATCCATTAAAAAAAATAGAGTTTGAAGTACAAACGAAGTGACACGAGAAGAGAATTGCATTGACACAGTCTTACGATCCAAGTATGGTCTTAACTCCGATTAAAGTAAGTAAAAGATGAACACAAGACGCAGACGGGGATCGTTACACACTGCAGGCCTCAGCGGACTGCGATGCCGCGGTTTGGTGGAATCAATACGCACCCGAACACAGTGTAGGTCTCCACCCATACAGAAGGCACACGTGTATGAGCCACTCTACCGCAATTCCGCCACTATGACGTCAGGTAGTGTGATGTCATATCTCGTCCTATCCAGCCAAGCTAGATAACGGTCATGACAGAGGAAGTCACGGTGATATAGATCAGTCCAGCAGCCCATCCGCTCGTCTACGGCAGGCAAACTTGGAGATGCCGATCCGTGTCCAACTTGCCACTCAGTCTTGTGATACCGTGGACCCGCTTACAAAGTGACGCCTTTAGTGATGCCGCAGGCCGGGGAGCCAAGCCTGGGGCACCTCAGAGCAGGGCTCAGAGCGCCGAGACCTCAGTCACTGGCGCCCTGGGGGCGTCGGGCGCCCAGTCCGGGGCGTCGCGGCGCTGATCACACCTGCTGGTCGCCTCCCGCCGACCGTTCTGCCATAGGCAGCTGCTCACCGGCGCCCTCCTGGGAAAGTCGCCACGTCCGTCCGTCAGGGGGCTGAGGTAGAGCCTCGACTATCCAGTAAGTGGCGCCGGGCGGCAGAACAGGCGACGCGCAATACGCAAAGAGCGGGTGAACCTTTATAGACGTGCATTACCGAGAATGAAACTTTTGAACTGAGATAATTGAACGTAAAATGATCGTTCATGACATTCGTAATAAGCACATCTAAAGCAGCAAAATATGAATCGTCACATGCCAGTGCAAGTTTGAAACGAAACATAACTGAACATAAAGTGACAATGAACGAGCACATCCAGTGAAAACTTGTAACAAGCATAAAACCATCCAGACATTGAGCTCAGAAGGATACCGATATGATGAGGGCCGATGAAGGTTAATATCGACCGTCTATGGTTGTCATGACCAGACGAGACAGGTTGGCACTGATACAGACTGAGAATCTTACCTGATCAAAGCAGTCAGCTTCGCAAAGAGAGCTTGTAGCCCGTTCCTCACTAGACTATAAATCTAGTATATCTCCTGTCTCACCCGGTAGTAAGTCTAGTATATCTCCTGTCTCACCTGGTAGTAATTCTAGCATATCTCCTGTCTCACCCGGCAGTAATTCTGGTATATCTCTTGTCTCACCCGGCAGTAATTCTGGTTTATCTCCTGCCTCACCTGGTAGTAATTCTGGTATATCTGTTGCCTCACCTGGTTATAGTTCTGGTAAAGCTGGTGTTCCTCATCCCCCGCGCCGGCCCCGGTGGGCGGGGTGCTGCCGTTGGAAGCCGGCTCCTGGTTCGAGCCGTACGAGCGGCGCCGGACCGTCTCGGTCTCCGCAGCCGCCGTCGGGTACGAGTACACGTCACCTGACGGGCGCCGGTGTCAGAGAAGTACTCAGAGGTACCGAAGTGTCGGAGAGTCCCCCAATACGTCATGCTCGTCCGTCCAAACCTCTGCATCCCTCATTAACACCACACATAACGTGATCGAGTTCTAAATGACACAGGAGTTCAGTCACGTCAAACTGCAACCACTTCAAAATCATCTTACACTTATATACATCCCCAAATATAAAAATAAGAAACAAAAACCCCCAAAAGGTACACTGGAGGGGAGGGACAAGATGACTGACCTGTGTCCCTGACGCGGACCTGGGGCGCCCGCTGCAGCACGCTCGGTACAAACGGCTGCTGCGGCGGAGACTCGTCACCACTGCTGGCTCCGCCGCCGGCCGCGTCCTCCAGCTGAGACGAGTCGATAGTCTGTAAGAGACACAGACATTTAGCGCCATCAGACTACATAACTGACACTGCGGCTAGTGAGAGGTCAATATCAAATTATGGTTTCCGTGCATCAAAACTAGTTCCGGCCTTACGAGCTAACACCACAGTCTAGACGCATAATCACTCCGACATATTCCAACCCCATCGATTATCAGCAATCCCGCAGTTCTGTTCCTCCGTCACCATCCAACCCTCATCATGTAGCCCCTCCACCCAGCCTCCACCCCCTCCACCTACCTCGTATCGGATCGGGCTGCAGAGCTGGAACCAGTGGAACAGCACGTGTGACATGAGCAGCAGCAGTGTGCCGCTCAGGCCCACCAGCGAGTAGATGGCTATGTCCCGCAGACCCCGCCGAATGTAAGCGAAGAAGCACAGACACAGCTGCGTCAGCACGATGGACAAGATGACGAAGTTGATGGCTGTGACGTGGATGCGCTTCTTGATGCGGGACGCTCCGTAGGCGAAGTAGATGTTGTGCTTGTCGACCAGGTGCTTAAGGACCATGTAGATGAGGCCTGCGGGAGGGGGGGGGGGGGGAGGTGAGTGAGCGCCGATAAGACGACACGCGAGAGAAATAAATTGTTAGTCAGAACAAAAACGCCTGGACAACAGATCGACAAGTAAATATGTTGTAGTCAGACTACTTCTTCCAACACAGCAGCATTGGTCATCTGACTACCTAGTCAGTAAGACGCCAATGAAGAACCGTCATAGGCGCGCGGTAAGAAAATGCATGCGCTAACTCGACACAAGTATTGAGAAGTTACACCTATGGAACAACAACCAAACTCTCTCGCTTTAGACACCATAGAGAGTTCAATACGATATCAAGTCGGACTATCATGAGTGGCGTAGACTTTCGTAGAGTAGATTTCATGAAGGTTGACAACAGGACGCCGCGAGCTCTCACCGAACGGCGTGATGAGCGGACAGAGCAGCGAGTAGACGGTGGTCATGGCGAAAATGAGCAGCATCCAGGCGTACTGAATTCCGAACGGAAACTCCCAGAGCACGGCGGCCCGCACACTGGCTATCTCCGCCTGAGACCTGAGGACAGAAAATGGGAGGGAGGGCCGTGAAGTAAAACAAGCGACAATATCCGTCTGGGACCTGACCGACATGAACGCACAGAGCGGTTACGAACAGTGTGAAAAACGATATCGCTAATGGGGCTACTGTTGACACCACAGGGTTTCGTCCACAGTCACACACGTCGCTATTTCGGCCATTGCTAATCTCCGGCGAAGATTTATCAATACTCTGAGAGTATACAAGGCAGCATGACTACCCGTTAAAATAGTTATTCCGGCTCGATTAATATTTGAAACGACAAATCTAAGACAGCCAGCACGTTGACTTTAAGACAGCTCCCACAAGGCCTGCCCCAGCGTCTGCCTCCACGTCTCCCACCTGGCCATGCACATGCGAAAGGCGTAGACGAACAGCTCGGGGAAGCGGATGATCTCCAGGCCGGTGCCGATGAAGGCAGATGTGATGACGTAGTTGACGAAGAAGGCACCGTTGTCGGGCAGGAAGATGCAACTCCAGCGGTAGGTCTGATCCTTGGTCTGCACCGCCCACTCCACGAACGCACGAGCGCTGAGGGCGAAAGATGGGGATGGAGGAGGTCAGATAATGTGGGGCGGTAGTCTAATCATGGCGTCAACTATCGAAGCAGGCCTGTCCAGTTTCCGGCGAAGCGAAATACTTAAAAACATGGCCCGTCATGTCACAGCTCAGAGGACTAAACATAGACATTACACGAGCCAAGTGCTGTCAAAAGTCACAAGCTCCAGCTTCCATGTACGAGTAACTATGACATAGGTAGATTTCGCTTAGGGCGCGTTGACTGCAGCTAGTACCTAACAGTTTGCGATTGCGACTATCAACAGATAGGTACACAATTAATCCAGTCACACCGCGTCCGCACCTGGTCAGTCCTAGCGACGGCAGGATGAGCACCATGAAGAGCAGGAAGATGAACGTCTTCACCATGACGGAGTAGTTCTCCGAGGACCGCGTCCAGTGGAACAGGAAACGATCGGTGAAGGCCACCAGTACGGGCATCAGAGCGGCGATCGTCCAGAGCAGCAGCGTCGGCAGAAACTCGGACACCAGCCGGCTCTGGGGGTGGACGGAGATAAATCGGGAAATGTTATCGTCATGTTTGTAGTAAACCATCGCCTAACTACACATATTACTGTACGCATATTAATTTAGAACTGGAATGCTGTTAGCAATCGATGGAGCACAGCAAAAAAAAAAAAAAATCAAAACATATGATGAAATTTTCATGTGAAATTCATACGCGTCGAAACCCTAAAACAAAAAAGAAAAGGAAAAAAAGTCATCTGAGGTGCCTAACCGGGACCTCAAGGCGACCTCAGCGGGAGCTCCATGACCCTAAATGACCCACCGCGACCTCAGATGACCCCCTGTATCGCCGTACCGTGGCCTTGACTCGGTCGGTGAGCGACACGACGTCGATCGAGTTGACGACGATGACGGGCGTAGTCAGGAAGAACAGCACCAGAAACAGCACCAGGTTCACGAAGAAGGAGCGCACGTACCACCAGAGCGACGAGTGGCTCAGGTTCTGCCTGTGGGCGGGCAGGCGTGGGGAACGGGGGAGGTCAGAACAGCGGAGAAATTCAGCCAGAGATGACCGAATGAGATTCCGTCTTGTGTGAAATTACCAATAACGCGAATGAAATATTGCTCTTATCCAGGACGAATTATTTTAGTGTTGACGGTTGGAAATTGTGGATATAAGCGACGTTCTGAAATAAATGGAGCAGTATCTTAGATTGCGCCAAACTGAGATCAACTGTCCGATATCAGCTGAATCAGTCCAAAGCTTTAAATCAGTTACCAAATATCCCATCGGCCATCCATTACGTAAACAAGTCCCACCAATCAAACGCGAGGCCTCAGCAGTCAGCAATCACACACTATCCGCAGCACACTCTCCAAACCCAATCCAACCTACTTGACCTATCCCTAACCTAACACGCAACCCTGCCCCGGAATCCCGAGTACGCCGTACAAGATCCCGCTAGCTATACTCACCAGTAGATATCCTCAGGCGGCGGCGCCATCTTATCCACCCCTCCACTACCACCTGATCCCACCAGAACCCCTTGTATATACTCACCAGTAAATGTCCTCGGGCGGCGGCGCCACCTGCACCTGCCACCGGTGCGGTTTCAGTACCGAGCTGAGGCTGGACGAGGGCGGGTTCTGGCGGCACCGGCACCCCATCAGCAGCGCGTGCTCGTTCAACACGCGGGCCGCCATCTAAGGAGATTAGACAGGGACATTAGACAGAGTATCAGACGTCATGGGCATCCCATCAGCAGCGCGTGCTCGTTCAGCACCCGGGCCGCCATCTGAGAGCAGGGGACCGAAAAGGAAGTCAGGAGACGGGTAACAATATTCGACTTAAAGAGCATCCCTTAGTTTTCAGACTGCGCAATACTCCGAAAAACAAAGTTTACACTCAAAACCTAAATGAAGCAGGCGGTAGGTATTAACGTAGCCCAGGCTGCTCTTCACCCTTACATAATTTTAGACACATCGCTCTTCAGTGACGTCTCTCCGAACGTGTCGCCCTGAACTGACCTCTCTGCTCCTGAACGTGATGAAGGCAATGCCGAGCGGCTGGTTGAGCGCGGCCGCCTTCTCGATCTCCACCTGGCGACTTAGTCGGCTCTCCTCGCGACTGTAGTGCTGAATGGCGTCCACCTACAAACCACACACGCTACGTGAGCACTTGCACGATTGGCAAGTGATACACAGAACCAACATGTGAAGCGTTAGTTCTATGTCTGACTGGGAAAATGCGGCCCCATTCAGTGAAATAGCATAAGCCAAATACGTGTCGCGGAGATGAAATGCAACTATGATGAGAACCACTTTGAAACAAAGTCATCGTATTTAGTAAACACCGATGATTTCAGTGTCACTAAGCGGCCCTTCGTAAGGCAGCGGTTATCCATTCGTTCCTCTCACCTCCAGCCCCGACTCCAAGGATCCGGGTAGGACGGCGGGATAGGAAGGATCCTCAGGAGGGCGGAGTCCGTTCAGGAGCGGAGTCCTGCTGTCCGGAGGATCAGGAGCGGGTCCAGGAGCCGCTCCCACGTCCCCAGGATCGGGAGAGTGTGGGAGGTAGCGGGCCGCTCTCTCCGGGCGCATTGGTACCTCCTGGGAACCGCAGTGGGAGCGGTCTGACTCAAGGAAGCAGGATAGGGATAGTGCTGGATGGATACCGGTCATACAGGGCGTTGGCCAGACAGGAAAAGGGCACTTACGCTAAACATGAACGAGGAATGAAACAAACAAAACGTAACAATGCCAGCAATGCTCACGACAGCAAGCACATCAAAATCTTCCTCTGAACATAATGTCGAGCTTCCAAAGCAATGGCTGGTAGCCCCTAACGGCCTGACCTAAATAATAAAGCTGTCCCCTGCCCTGCCTTTCAATCCTCTAACATCGCCGTATCTCCCCTCCCTCTCTCCGTACCTCGACGCAGCCGCAGCGGGCGCAGCAGCAGCAGATGTTCCCACAGATATAGGGCCGGATGGCCAGCCTCTCGCCAGTGTTGGCCAGGTACTCGTCGGCGTACAGCCTCGCCTGGAACATGGCGTCCCGCTCCCGGTCCAGCTCCATCAGACGGCTGATGTTGTACGAGAACTGGATGTCCTGAAGGCCGATCGACGGGTACGCCTCCCTGGGGGACGGGTGAGGGGGGGGGGAGGTGAGAGAGGCGTGCTGCCGCGTGGAGGGGTCGGTGGAGGTAAACCGCAAGGGAAAATAAGCTATCGGTAACACCATAATCGTGACACTATGGACTATTCGTACATGAAATTAAATAACAGCACATGAATAGCGGTTAACAATCATTAAAGATCTGGCGTCTCTAATCTTGGAAGGTTTGAACTTTGACTCGCCATAAACCTCTACACACCGAGGTCCTGCCCTCCAACATGTCTTCACTCTTCAGTGAGTGGCGAGAAAGAATCGGTTAAAGCTGGGAAATATTACAACAAATTTGTTTATGGTCTTCAGGATTATCACAAAAGTTCCGCATCCGTGTATGAGGCGGCCGAGCCGAGTCCATGATTGCCCCACCACACCCCGGCAGCCCTCTAACGACATTCCCTCCTCGCGTGGTTCAGCTGAATAAACACACGCGCGCCGTTGGAAAAATAAACAAGTCGGAGCGCAAATCCCAGCTTCCTGGGGGAGGAAGGGACGTATCGCACTGAATGGCACTCCGTTGCTCCTACCCTTCACCCTCCCCGTGGCTAGACCCCCCTCCCCTGCTCCGCGGTCCATCCCCGGCGGGCAGAGCGTGCTCACTGGAAGTGTTTGAGGAGGCTGTTTCGGTTACAGGCGGCGCGCGGCACGTTCGTGATCATGATGGTCCGTGAGACGGGCGAGCCGTCCTCTCCGCTGAGATGAAGCTGAGAGGAGAACCGGCGCATGATGTAGACGCCGAGAGGCAGGAACAGCACCGACAGACTGACGTGCAGCCACAGCCACGACGAGCTGAAAGAGAAACAGGGGGGGGGGGACGGTACGTCGGTACAGGTCAGACACAGCACCGACAGACTGACGTGCAGCCACAGCCACGACGAGCTGACGGGAGAGACGAGGGGGGGGGGAGACACGTCAGGAACAGCACGACAGACTGACGTGCAGCCACAGCCACGACGAGCTGACGGAGACAGGGGGGGGGGGGGGGGGTACAGGTCAGGAACAGCACCGACAGACTGACGTGCAGCCACAGCCACGACGAGCTGACGGGAGAGACAGGGGGGGGGGGGGGACGGTACAGGTCAGACACAGCACCGACAGACTGACGTGCAGCCACAGCCACGAAGAGCTGATAGAGAGACAGGGGGAGGGGGGGGGGGTACAGGTCAGGAACAGCACCGACAGACTGACGTGCAGCCACAGCCACGACGAGCTGATAGAGAGACAGGGGGGAGGGTACAGGTCAGACACAGTATAGACAGACTGACGTGCAGCCACAGCCACGACGAGCTGAAAGAGAGACAGGGGGGGGGGAGGGGACGGTACAGGTCAGACACAGTATAGACAGACTGACGTGCAGCCACAGCCACGACGAGCTGATAGAGAGACAGGGGGGGGGGGTACAGGTCAGACACAGTATAGACAGACTGATGTGCAGCCACAGCCACGACGAGCTGAAAGAGAGACAGGGGGGGGGGGACGGTACAGGTCAGACACAGCACCGAGAGACTGACAGGGGGGGGGGGTTACAGGTCAGACACAGCCACGACGAGCTGACGGGAGAGACGGGGAGAGGATACGGTCAGTTGATAGACCCACGAAAGCCGAGGGCTACCGGTCAGTTACAAACACCAAGAACAGCGACTTAGACGCGTGCAGGAGTCATTACATTGCATGGAATACCGCATCTAGCGGTATTGAATCACTGATCATACCTCGACCAATAAATGACATCATCGTTGATAATTATTAACTGTTTATAATCAGTTGCTGTTCTTACATGTCGCTGGTGAAAGTGGCGATACATTCGAATTAGCGTTCCTACCTGGGGTCCAGGTTGGAGATGGTGGTGTGCCCGAAGTCCTTGCCCTTTCCCTCGAGCTCTCCCTGAAAGTTGACGGGTAGCACGATGCCGATGGCGGCCACGGTGACGATGGTCAGGTAGACCATGATGTGCCGCTGGAAGGACAGGTACTGCACAGCGTCCGTGCCGCACTTGCGCAGTATGTCGTCATCGCTGGCGGAGCGGAGCGAGGAGGATGGTCAACAACACGCTTATAGTCCAAAGCCCCCAAAACATCTGCTTTGCAATGGTGGGATGGCGAAAAAAAACTATCCAGTTCAAAACTAGTTTTTTGTTCGTTATTTTTTCCACTGAATTGGCGATGGGATGACCTCATGCGACTAACCACTGTAACCAGCCAGCCAACGACGCTCAACAAAACAATAACATCTTCACACTTATGACGGCGCCGAGTGTCGGTTCTCACCCGATTTTGAAGATGGCGACTATCCACGAGAAGAGGCCCCGGTCCACCAGAATGCTGTGCTCCATGTTCTGGAACGACTCCTGATCGCGCATGCGCAGTCGGCCCATCGTCTCCTCGTTACCGTAGAACAGCTGGGTCCATCTGCGGGTACGGCGGTGACGTCAGAGGTCGGGAGTCAGGGGCCGGGGTCAATATCGGCGTGTCATGTTCGAATAACGTATTTGTGGCCGAGAAAAGCTGGGTTTAGTTTATTACATTTACAGGCTGTCAGTTAAGCTAACGGCAAAAGCTGTTAATAAAGTCGGGCTTCACAAGGTTGGCATCGGTCTTTTCCTTGAAGGTTGTGTTTGCATATCGATCGATGACATAAGTTCATGCATCAACACCTCTCCACCAACCACAAGCCCCCATTATTTCCCCACAGCGTCTCCGTGGCCTAAAATATCACACGGCAGCAGCTTTGTACAACTTAGAGGAAAACAAGAGCATAATGCCTACACCGCAACACCGCAAAGCCGACCTCCACCAGAAGCTATCACCAAAGCAACCTTCGGTCCCACCGCACGGGTGACCGTGAGTCTCAGCCAACAGCCACCCCTTCGGCCGTGAGTCTCGTCCCGAACAGTCACGGCCTTTTCACGAAGCCGCAGGTCTCGCTCTGGCATATGTGAGTTGTGTGTAAGCATAGCCATCACCAGTTAGTATGTAAAAGGTGTTTCCGGTGTAGCTTTACCATTCGCCCATCCACTACCATGACTGGTGTGGTACTGACAGTTTTCAGAACGCCACCATAACCACAAACATAAGGACAGATAAGTATAGAGGATCCACCACCGTAGCACAAACACAGGCACAAGTTAAACACCCCGCCCACCGACCACCACCACAGGCAGGCTGCCGGGCGCCGGCGGACGCGCGATATCAGCTACCTACATGTTGTACGTCCCCCTGTAGAACGGGTTAAGCAGCAGTCTGCGAACACGGTTAGAGAAGCGTTAGGGCGACTGCTGATGCGCGTGGAGTGTGGATCCTCCCGGGAACTTGTTGGCAAAGTAGTAAACAGAGACGTGTGTTAGTCAAATACATATCTTCCAACAAAGACAAAGAACACCCGACACAACTAAACGCCCTTCCTCATTATGATCAAGTGTTTATGTAGCATGAAGAAATAAATGAACGTCTGCACGGATATATCTGTGTTTACTACAATCTAGTAAGTGCGCAGGTGATCACGTCTTGAGTGTACACTTGACGATCTGAGCTATCAGTAGCCCCAATTCGAGAGAAACAACAGTGCACTCGCGATAATCTGAAAGTGTAAACACCTAAACTAACCCAAATAACTGGTATTTTATCTCAGATCGGTGTCTGTAAAAGCTGTGCGCAGACTCCGCTCGCCCCGTGTTGATGGAGCCGGCTGTCATATCTGGCTCGCAATGAGTCGCGGCCCGCTCACATCTCACGGTTACGTCAGAGGCGGAGGCGGCCTTGATATCATCCGCGCCGCGCCCCGGGCCCAGTTCCCCGTCACCCCCCCCCCCCCCAGCCGCGCCCCGGGCGACAGAGGCGACAGAGGACCGCTCGGGCCGTACCCGTGAGGCGACTGACGGACTGAGTCGGACAAGTGGCTGGTCGGGCTGGGAGTGGGAGAACAGCGACTCCCATCCACCGCGCCGGACATTGACCCGGCCCAATAGATAACGACTCCGACACACAGGACAGTGACTCTTGATTTAGAACAAAGACAAATACTCCGGTTTACCGATCCAGTCAGTCATACTGGCCGGTCGAACTGTCAGCCGCCGGTACCCTGCGCCCCTATAAATAGTGGAGTGTGGACAAAACATTCCCGGGCAGCTCGCGCCATTGAGAAACACATCCAATGAAATGTGCGGGGCGGGTCTCTGTGTCCAGACACCCCACCGCTCCCTGATCATATGTCAGACAACAAGGAAGCGTTTATAAACTTCGTGGCCGTATATAAAAGGTACACTTTCCTTTCTGTCTACTTATCACACGCCTGTTTCTTGTCGTGTTAAAAATACAAACAAACCAACGACTGATAGAAAAAATGTCAGCTGTGATGATAATATGACATGTTGTATCATACTGTCCCGGTTCTATTGTTTGGGTTGTAGCCAATCATGAATAAAAATGAATGCTTATGTAAGGTATGCCAGCTTTTGATCATAAAACAAGCCAAGTATTTTTTGTTTGAATATTTTCAGCATTCACAAAATTTACGGTGCACTGAGAGAAAGCACGCCACCTCACTGGAAAGTTACACTGAGCAAGGTTGCCAGAGCGGCTAATGGTGGCGTATAGAGCCAGCCTTCGGGCATGGGACGCTGTAGACGTGGAAAATCTCATGAACGTTCACATAAATATGCAATCCAATAGCTGTTTCTCAGTTACCGCTCGAGCTAAACACGCGATGAAATCTAAAACCCCGACAAAGCAGCAGCGGTGAGCCATGGCGGAAGTAATGTAACGAAGAAGGTGCGTGATCTTCGGATCCAGTGAACTTAACACACCCATATGAATTTTGATCGCCCTGATTTAAGAAAACCTGCGACTGGTCGATGGTCAAGAGAGCAGAATGAGACAAATAGTCAGCCAACCAGCTTGAACATATTTCACCCAAAAGCTTAATCCGTCTCAGAACGAAACCTGCCCGGAAATGCGGTGACCAATGTTCCGCGGCCGGTCGGCCACACTCAGTGTTTGTGTTTACAGCTGACGTTCAGACGACAGAGTCGCACTTCTCACCCCACCCACAGCTGGGATGGGGACGGGGCGGGCGGAGGGCTGGGGGGGGGGAGACGGATGCTCGCCCAAACACCACCACACAGGGTGCCCCGACTACACACACATGTTCCGATACTCACACCACGCCGAACATACGCAGACAGACAGACACACAACGACAGAGGCAGAGGCAGCTGTAAAATAAGACTGCCTTTCGGCCGGCTCGAATGAAAGTTATAGGGTATAAACATTTAACAAACATGCATGCCGTAGCTATAAACTGATTGTTATTCATAACTGCAAAAGGATCGTGTAAAGTTGAGCCGACAATGCGTCAAATAGCCGGGCCGATGACGTAAGAAACCTTAATTTAGAAAGGCTAGGGAACGTCAGAATAAAAGGAAACGTATTATGAGTTTACCACCAATAAAACACCAGTTTCGCCCTCGGCTATGTGCAGCAATAAACAGCGCGGGGCTCCACGAGGCACCCCATTTACACAACCACAAAAACACACACGCACTTCGTCGGCTATGCGAGGGGTTATGCTATCCCGTGATACGAAATTCCAACCAACTCCCTCTGTACACCGATCATTTCTAATCACTGTGCGGGTGACAGAAGCCTGGCGGTGTCAGTGGCCCACACACTGTACAGCGTACCTACACAGAGAGCCATCTCCACGTCCCAGTCTCGGTACCGGCCCGGTACGCTCTCGGTACCCGTGAGATACACACAGACCGTGTGGAGCGGCAGTGGCCGGTACAAACACTCACCTGCGCTCGTTCTTGTGGACCAGCGCCAGTCGGCCGTAGTTCCACGCGCTCTTCCGTAACAGTGAGAAGAGAAATATCAGCGCCTGCCAGCAACAGTGGAAAATGATACACGTCAATTGGAGAAGTGTGGGAGACGGTCGCTTGCCACAATACCAACAATACCAATTTATCGCCCACTCGAACGACGATCACTTTAGACCAGGGATGCGGAGCCGTGGAAATTTCAGACGGCTCCGGCTCCGGGTGAAATGTCATGGCGGCTCCGGCTCCGGCTCCGGCTCCGAGTAAAATGATCCGGCTCCGGCGGCTCCGGCTCCGGCTTCTACTCAGTACATCCCCTATGCGATCAATTAAATACGGGTGGAAGTAAAAAGGCGATGGGATTGGTACACGTTGCTTCTGTATTTGTATAACAAGACTATTTTGAATACCACATTGTTTAACGCCTTGTACTGTCAAACCGAACTAGCTAAATAATTGTTTCCTCTTAAGAAAAGGAGCCGGAGTCGCCCCCTTTTTGGACGGCTCCGGCTCCGGCTCCGGGCTATACTGTTTCACGGCTCCGGCTCCGGCTCCGGCTCCGGCCAAAATATGCCGGCTCCGGCGGCTCCGGCTCCGCATCCCTGCTTTAGACTATCCTTCAGGTTTTATGTTCACGCGCAGTTTTATTCTGTTCGCCGACAAACAACAAACTCCGGCGAGCCAGCCATTGCTGAGCTCCTCTTAGCCCTCAGATTGAATTTTGAGTACCGCCCGTGACCTACCAAACTCTTACAAGTAACTGACATTTGACCTCTGACCCCTGACTCCGGCCAATGGACCTCTGTCACCCTGATCTGACCCCATGTCACTTACCAGCCAGAGGACGACGTTGGCTCCCAGGTTCAGCGGCACGCCCTCGTATCCTCCGTAGATGATGAACGTGGTGTTGTGCTTGATGTACTGGTTACAGGTGATGTTCTCGTTGGGGTCGTCGCTGGGGTAGTCGGGCGGCGGCTCAGTGCCGTTGCCGTCCCAGACTACGAACGGGTCCAGTCCGGCCGGGGTGGTCGGCGGCGGGACGGTGGCCATCGCGGCGCACCTTCGGCGGCTCACAGGGACCGCGCCGCTGCTGTCGGCTAGAGTCCGGACGCGGGCGGCGTGAAGGTGTCGGCCTCGTGGTCAAGGTGACCTACAGGTCTTCAGTCTCGGTGAGGGTGATCCCTCAGTATCGGCTTCGGTGTCTCAGTGTCGTTTGTATGTCTGTCAGCGGAACGGGAAGACAGGGTAAGCTCAGACAGTCAGTATTAGAGGTGGCAAAAGGTGAGAATTTTTGGAACCAGACTCGAACCAGACCCGACTGGACAATTTTAGAACCAGTCGGACCCGGTCTAAATTGGAATCGGAACCAGTTGGACCCGTTCCCCAATAGTCAAATAATACAAACTATTTGTAGGTATCATTAGTTGCATCATGTAAAACATCTTTTTCCCACTGGGAATACTCATGAGCTACAGTGTGCAAGGAAGCATACACGAACAAATGTTTTCTTTCCATTTACTTCATATTTTGCAATCATGTGTAATGTGCAAGATGTATGGTTTATGGTAGGACCCGGTTGGACCCGTCAGAAAATTTCCAGGAACCGGTCTGGACCCATATGGGTCCAGACTGGTTCTTTGGACCGGGTCCTCGGGTCCACATTTTGCCACCTCTAGTCAGTATACCGACGGGGGGGGGGGGGGGGGCACGTGGTCACAGACGGCAAACAGAAGGCGCAGACAACTCATACTGGAAGACACACTACAATCTAAAAAATATACTATATGAGCGTAGGAAATCGTACAGTCGGCTGGCCGTCATCAGGCGCCAAAACACTGACAGACAGCCAAACACATGGACAGAAAAAGCATTAGCTTGATACAATAGCGATTTTTTACAGAGGTCGTAACTAATAATCGCTAAAATACTTACAAGATGGAGACTATTAGGTACTGAATAGAGCCGCATAACTCGCTATACATTCCACTATCATCACTTCAGAACCCTTCCGAATACAAACACGGTTAGCAAGTGCCCCAGCCGGCAACCTCCACAGTCCACACGAAACATTTCCGACAACTAACCAGTCCTAGTTCACAAACGGCCCGCCGTGCTGGCCGGATCGATGTTCCGCGTAGTAGACACCTCCCTCCCCTCCCCTCGCCTTTCCCCCGACCTGACCACCAGCTGGTGGCTGTTGATTCAGCCGGTCCATTCTGGTTATATTCAGCCCCCGCGGCGGTGTCCGCACGCTGCCGCAGGGTGCGACACACACACATACAGACAGGTGCAGCGACCACAGAGCGAAGGTCGCTGCCCGGCGGGCCGAAACGGTGACATTGCAACAGAACGCACAAAGCGGTGCGCGGCTCCCACATTTCCGCTGTTCACGTGGCACGGACAGTCGCTACCGGTTTTAGAGAAGAGCGAACGGAAAACTACGGACTATGCATCCGGTCCGATAAGTATGGAATACTGTGGGTCAATAAGAAGTGAGGTATACCATGGGCGCACAGCCCACAGTCGTCATAAAACTGCCCGATAGCGAAGGGAGATAATGGTCATTTGCCGGCTGCGACTACGCACTCAGCGTTACATTCGCAAAAGCTCACACAACGACCCACACTTTTAGCTTGACAGCTCTAGCGGTAGAGGTGGCTGAATTGGGCCAGCCGGTACGTATGCCAGCCGGTTATGACATTTAAAATTATGTGGAAGTGCCAATCGGTCCCTTATATAAGCTACGAATTAGCTATGGCACCGCGTCAAGTTATAATCATACTTCTCTCCCATCGAGAATGACAATGCCTCCGAATTAGAGCATCATTGGCCAGCCTCACATCCTAGCGAAAGCAAAAGCGAGTCGGGATGGGTGCACCCGCGTGTTTTGACTAGACACTGCGGTCTGCGCTCAGTGACTGTGACTCACGCCGATAGCATAAACAGCGTGATTACGACAGTCGACGGAGGCTCGGGGAGCCGGCGGACGGAACAGCCGCTAAAGACGGATAGATTTTCGGCGGACTGCGTGCCTAGCCAAGTTACAGACGCACACAGGGCGGGCGCACCATATTATCAGCCATATGTCAATGTGAAAAAGTTAGTGTTTCCACGAAAGCCTCTGAATCATTTGCAATCGTCAGGGTTGGCATTTTTGCCGGCAAAAACTAGTTTATGCCATTTGCCGGTTTAAACCGGTTTTAACCGGCAAAAAGTGGCAAAAACTGGCAAAAACTAAAAACCATCACAATGATATGCCTAGACATGGAGTTAAACATGAAACATTTTGAGGAGAATTCGGTGAAAGCTTTATGCTTTCAACCAGAAGTGACATTGACCGTTGGAGTGTTCTATAACTCAAAAACACTTTCATTGGCTTTCCATGAGGGACCAGTAAGACGCCTTTTGGGGTTGACAAATGAGCCAGTGCAAGAGTGAGTCCTGCACAAATCACAATCAGAAGTGCGAAGGTGTATCTGTCACTGATATGCGCACGGCACCCTACCGTGGCAGCTTTGCCCCACTCTCCCCTACATGGAAATGCATTCTGTGGTGGATGTCTACCTTACCTTACCTTACCTTACCTTACCTTACGGTATCGGGATTTTTAGGCTTATAGCCTGTCGTACCCGATCTCATCGAGCTCCTGGTATTTGGCTTGTCCAGGATCAATCGGAATCGGGAAGGGTGTATTGTAAGTGGGACCAGTGTGCATTCAGCCTCGCCTTGAAGCAGCTGAGCGATGGGGCGCAGACCACCTCAGCCGGGAGTCGGTTTCAGTCGTTCACGACCCGTAGAGCGAACGAGGACATGCATAGACATTTTAAGCAGGAATAAGTAATGAGGCAAACTTCAGAATGTTTGGTGCATCTCTATAACATCCTGAAATGTATTTGTACATTTCAGATCCATTCCTAATTAGAAAAGTTGTGGTTTGGGCCACCTGAGTTTTATCCAGTTTTTGCCAGTTTTTGCCACCGGGGTTTCTGCCAGCCGGTTTAAACCGGTTAAAACCACTGGCAGAAACCAGTTTTTGCCATCCCCTGCCAACCCTGGTTCGATTTCATCGTCTGATGTCTCTATCGTTCAGACTTCAACCTTCAAAGTCGCCGTTTCTCATCGTGAGCCATCTCAATTTTCCGCTTTATCTATCGACACCATTTTGCTGCAGACCAGCTCACAGCATTCGCCGTTAGTCGGCGGACGGCAACCGAGGCCAGACTCGCCGAATTACATAACCGCCCCACCAGCATGGCTACTGCTCGGTTCATATGAAGTCCCCGAGTCCGACAAATCATTGTCCACCCTCACGAAATCTGATAGGTGCTGGAGCGTGAAAACACGAGCGAATATCGTGACGGCAAGGCATGCCCCATGACCATTGACCAGCGAAAGTCCGCGCCATACCTATTCAAAGACAGGCGTCACGTTTGGTGTAAAATCAATCATTAAGCATTGCATTTGACACATTTTCTTATATTAAAACTTGGGATGGTTTAGGTTTCTAAGGGTCATGGGCATATTATTTTTTATCACTGACATGATTACTCAGTGTTACAGCCATGACCTTGCATTGTGAGCTGAAACATGCTGCTATCTTCACTTTATCACTGATCTTATTGTAACCACACTCCAGTAAGCTAGATGACTGATGAGGGAAATGAGTTGTTGATGGTTCAATGAGAGCCAACCCAGTCCCATTCCCTTACCATCACCATTTTCATCCCAAAAGTATAACAGCCCTTTCTCATATTCCAGCTCAGATACAAGCTGGCATGCTGATTCTCTCTGGCATTCAAAGATTCTAATAGGTATGTGGTGCAGCACATGCAAATTCAAAACATCAACACAAGACACAGCCCTGCTGTTTAAACATAACCAGAAGCACCCAAATATTGCATCCATGTAGCATTTGACACTTACTTCAGTCTGTTTCAGATAACATTAACATCACTGGGTCAATGGTAGACAGTGTTGCTACTTGCTACCAAGGGGGAGGATTCAAGAGAAGCAGCTTGCCCCAACTGAACAATTTAGGGGAGCTTTTATATTTTGGAGTATAAAATGGGTAGTTTTCTGAGAAGAGCTGTGCAATTGTAATGGCTAATAGCTCTACCTAGATTCTAGGTAAATCACAAAAACAATATTTTGAATCCTTACTCCAGCAGTGGCCTGTTATAACCTAAAACCACCATCTTTTGGCCCTCATAAACTGATCCTACAGTCAGGGCTTTTCATTTATACTCTGCATTTTGTCTTATTATTCATTGGAATTTTGAATTTAGAAGTTGCAGCAAACAAAATCCACACCATCAAAAATAATTGTTTTCATCACCATCAAAATCTACATCACTTGCACTAGGTAGGTACCAGATGGGAACAGGGAATGCCATCATGTAACCTGAAATGATGCCTCAGAATTGACTAACTGCAGTTACTGTTTTCATTTTCGATGTTAAGGCTGAATGGCCAAATGGGTGGCTACTGGCCAGTAACATTCCAGTTGGGCTGAAGTTTTCTGTGGAGCACCACACTGATCACAGGCCCACCAGCCAACCACACTGCCCTGGCCCGCTCCTGATTCTCCGATAGGTGGGCACACCCGACATCTTTCAGTTTGTAACCTGGTGTCAGTCTCACTTGAATCCAATGCAAGATTGAAATCCCTCCTACCAGTAGTGGCAGAACACCTTCAATTAAGGGGGAGCACTGCTGACTTTTGGTCCCATTCTTTCCATGCAGTGCCCATAGGGCCAATGTTAAAATGGCAAAATCAAGGGGGTGTTGGTGTGGTGCCCCCCTTCCGCCACCTATGTCTCCTTCCTAGGATAATCAGAATCGCAGTGGAAAGCACATATGCACGACTACAGGGGTTTTAGTACCTAATGCCTGTAACCAGGGGTTACTAAAACCCACAAATTGGAAATCAGAGACAAAACCAAAACTAACGACAACAGTCAACAGACAACCGCTGAAGTGGAAAATATAACTAATTTATAATAACATCCAACACCAACAGCTGAGTGTAAAAAATAGACAAAAAATTCCACGGATCCATTTACCGAAAAATACCGAAATTTCACATCCAACCCACCTAGACACGCCACGACACAGCGCGCTCGCTGACGTTCGGTCAGTGTTGCCGTTGGGAATTTTCGATACGTACCAGATTCTGAGTGAAAATGTACCAAAACGGACCTATTTCGTACCATATGGGGTATGCCAATGTACCAAGTTATGTACCATTGTATAAAATACACCAAAACGTCATAGATGAGCAAGATTCTAGGTACATCAATTCCGGTCAATTCCTGTGTTTGGTGCTCATATTTGGATATATGTGACATCTGCTGTCCGTATCCACTTCATAATATGATTTGCTTTAACCGCATTGATGTTACGTAAATCAGGCTAACAATAATTGTTACTTCTCATACCTACTATATATATTGCTAAGGAATATAGTTATAGTTCTTTTTTTTCAACACCGGTTTGATTCCAAGTTCATTATCGAAGCTTTCACGTTAGTTTTGGCAACCTCAGCGTCTGGCCAATTATAATTTATTACCGGTAAAATATTCAATTTCAAATTATGCTCGTCAAATACATGCAAATTGTATCTTCAAAAATTATCACATTATGATGACGTCACTGGTGGCAGCTGGCAGCTAATATTCCTACGGTGTCGACGAATTAATGAAAATTTCAGTTTCATTGTTACCGAGGTCAGAACGGAGTAAACAATTCTGTCCATGGTAGTAAATAGTAATAGGTACTGGTTATACGTAGTAAAGGAATCTTGAGTTATACATTACATTGCAATGCAAGTTCGACAGCATCACTGTTCCAATGTTTAGTTCTAAAAGGTATGCATGGAAAGGCGACGTTCGATTTTCTCAAGCTCAGTTTTTGGTCGTTTCGCTGGGTAAAACGCGTGCTTAGTCGAAAAATGTATTTGGATTCAAACCGGTTTTGAAAAAAAACGAACTATAGGAATATGCTTAGGAAGATGCTTATATAAGTGGTCTTCCTGTTACAGCATATTCGTTTTCATATTGATTCTGATTGATTTTTGGTGGCAGAATTATATAAATTTAACGCAAAAAAGAAATGCTTGCGCGAAACCGTGAAATGTACCAGATTTGGGCCTCAGTGTACCAGCGTACCAGAAAGTGTTGAAATGTACCAGATCTGGTACAATCGTACCATAGCGGCAGCACTGCGTTCGGTGCGATGTTATTTACCGAAAATACCCGTATTGGTAAAAACATATTCAAAGAGCAACTGAGTAAGCGATTGTAATGAAAATCAGCCAATTGGCTACCTGCGCGTGAAAAAACAACGAATCATAGAACCAGTTTTTCAAGGACTCACTAATTGCATGCATAAAATGAACAAGAAATTGCTTGCTTCAGAATCTTTTACGAATAATGCGCATCGGTTACATTTATCAACCAGAAGGCTATTATTTTTTGAATGACGTTTTAATCATCTTTCTAGCTATTTTGTACACGTTATGTTCTGTTTGAAACTAATTAGTACATAACAATAACATATATGATGTATTATTCATATAGTTTTTTTATGGAAATCGAATTAAATTGTAACAATTTAAAATATGTTCACTATGACGTCATAACTCTATAAGTTTCACGTGCACAAGGTGCACAAGATTCGATGCTCCGCGCCTCCGCGCAAATGGGCCTTGAATCATTTGCTTATTTTTCGGGGGACTATTAAAGCATCCAAGAGCGCAGCATCCAAAATACGCAACATCCTAAACCGCAGCATCCAGCGATCAAAACCTCCAAATAACATCCAAAATCGGCCCTTTTGGGTGCATTCAGAGCATCCAAGAGTGAAACATCCAAGGATGCAGAATCCAAAACCGTATCATCCAAAATGGCAGCACGAGAATACCTGAGAACCGTATCATCCAAGGACGGCTCATCCAAAAGCGAAACATCCAAGCATGCAACATCCAGAATCGTATCATCCAAAACAATACAGAAAAGATGGAGCCACTCAAGAGACTCAGTAGCGCCACCTAGCATATGTATTATAAACTATTAGCTTTAGGCTTGCTTGATAGGTGGCGAATGCGTCGTGTTTAGCGGCACATCGTCACAATATGACGTCACTAGGTAATATGACGCCACTAGGTATTCTACAGTGGATCCCCATGATATTCATATACAACCGGAGCCGACTGCCGGTGGCTGCTCTGTGCTCTCTCCGCCGCCGCCGCCCGCCACTCTGTCTCCCGCCAAATAGCTGGAAAGCGCGGGAACCAATAGCGCGCCAAATCGGCGCGCCGCGTGCTAGCTCTTCGCTCGCTAGGTGCAGCTGAACTTGGCGCCGGCTGCGCGCCACCTGGCAACTCGTTGCTCGGCCGGTACAGATGCACTAGCACTTAACAAAGCAATGAATTGCGAACAGAGCTGTTAGCTGTTGGCGCCTGGTGGCATTATCGAAAGGTTAGGAGGTCGATGGTATTTGGTTTGATTGATAACTAGGTAAGTTATTGATATTCGTTGAGGTTGTAGGCAGGGGCGTCGCCACGGATTTTTGACTGGGGGGGGACGATCGACAGACGTGAAATCTAAAAAAAGAACAGATAAATACTGCTCTCCGCTTTCTTTTCAAAATCGCTGCATCACATGTTAAACCCGCGCCTGACTTTTCATAACGTGACTGCCTGAGGGGACAGGGGGGTACATTGGGCTAGGAAAATACACAGGGCTGTACCAGGGGAAGCCGGGGTAACCCCGGGCGCGGGGGAAGCCCGGCCACCCCGTTTCCGGCTAAATTATTCATAATAAAATGCTGAAGTGCTTGTCCCTTCAGCGTGGCAGCTGAGGTAACGCCAGCGTAAAAGTTAACGCTAACAAAAATTGTAGGCATATTGTTAAAGTTAAAGAGCAAAAATGATATTTTAAGGGTTTTTAGCTAAAAACTGAGATATGTTGCACTGTTAATGTTATACCATACATCCCTAATATTTATACGAATGTTATGAAAGGATCATCTAAGTGCTTGTAGTGAGGGGTGACGAGGCCGGCTGGCATATTTTCCAAAGATCGCTGTTCTAAAATAAAATTAGCACATTGGGGTAACCCCGGGCGAGTGAGCGAGCTTACCCCCAACCGAGAGCAATGCCACTGAACCACTGTGTTATAAACGTTATACATTAATAAACGTTATACGTTATAACGTTTATTGATTACGTTATAACGTTTATTAATTACGTTATAACGTTTATAGATTAAACGTTATAAATGTTATAAACGCACTGACTTCATGATTGATTTCTAATTGATGTAATTTTAGTATATGATGTAACGAATACTAAAATTCCCCTGCAAACGTGTGAGCCGTGGGCACTGCAAATGTGTAAACAGCGGACGAATGTGCATCGCCCATAGGGCTAATGTTAAAATGCCAAAATCAAAGGGGGGCACGGTGCCCCGGTGCCCTCCCCGTTCCGCTGCCTATGGCTCAAGCGGCCACAATAAGCGGCTGGATTTATTATCCGAGGATTTATTAAGCAGATTCCACTGTACAGCATTAAAAAATAAGTCCACTGCAGACCTACGTTGCTAATGGATAGGTACATCGAATAGTGACTAGTTATTTGCTTAGTTTTGATATGGGCCGAGTTTTGATATACTGCCGTGAGGAAAACAGTGGGTTGTATTAATACCGCCCTGTCGGTATTAGAACTGCCCAGCCGTTATCAATACCGGCCGATTACCTACTGACCGGCCCGAATTTATACGGGCCGGCCTTCCGGCCATTATTGATACGGGCCGGGCAGTACGAGTAGTGTTCTATAAAAAGCAAGGCTGTAGAGTTTTTGCGTGTAGAGCTTTTGCGCTGATGTTGATATTTTATTATACATAAAAATTATATTTTTAAAAACACTTTGGATTATGGGGCCATACGGATTCCGGCAAGGGGGGGAGGGCAGGGCATGTGCAATTGCAGACGGTGAAAATCCCAAGGTTTGCAAACTGCAAACACTAATTTTTGCACATCCACATTTCATTGCGGGGCTCATGCGGGCTAATAAGGGCTCTCACAGGCGCTTGCTTGTCTCAGCCCGATGCTCGAGAGTCGAGGGCCCCAGCCCGAGCCTGATGGCCCCGCACTGGAACTTTAAGTCCTAAACAGGTACGTGCGGGTGTTATCTTGCAGGTTATCTCAGGGCCCCATGCCAGTATCTAAAGGCTCTCGCCGGCTCTTAAGGGCCCCAGCCCCCTTAGGTCTCTTGGGGCCGAAGTCGGAGGGCCCCGCACCGGTACCTAAAAAGCCCAGTTATCCCAGCTGGCCCCACGCCAGTTTCTAAGGGCCCTCACCGGCTCTGGAGTGGCGAGGATGACCCGGATATCATTTACTGAAATGGATAGGTCATCTGAGGTCAAATAAGGTAAAAAGTAGTTTTTCCACGATATAATTGTGCTTCATGTCGATTGCTAGGTGCAAAAAGACCTGCTTGGGTCAAGACAAGACCTGACCCTGACCTGGGTCGAATAGTGAAAGTGACCTACCGACTACCGAGGTCTATCAAATACATATTTCGAACCATCTCGATGGGAAAAGGATGGTACAAATTTTATGTCTAACGAGTTCAAAACGAGCTAAAACGGTCGGAGTTTGGGCGGAGAAGCTACTTATCGGAAATAACGTCAGGGTGACGTCATGTTCGGCCAATTTCGATGCAAAACATGTCGGGCTTCCCCCGGCTTCCCCCACTGTACAGATCCGTATGTATTCTGAGTTCTCTCATCTAAGAAAAATGATTTATTTAAAAAACTAAGCTATTGGGAGCGATTACCGTAGCTTAATGTTTTGCATGAAAATTGGCCGAACATGACGTCACTCTGACGTTATTTCCAATAAGTAGCTTCTCCGCCCAAACTCCGACCGTTTTAGCTCGTTTTGAACTCGTTAGACATAAAATTTTTACCATCCTTTTTCCGTCGAGATGGTTCGAAATATGTATTTGATAGACCTCGGTAGTCGGTAGGTCACTTTCACTATTCGACCCAGGTCAAGGTCAGGTCTTGTCTTGACCCAATCAGGTCTTTTTTCACCTAGCGATCGACATGTCATGACAGTTTGGTACCACACTATTTACTAGTTTTAAGCACCATTACATCCTGGAAAAACTACTTTTTAAGTTATTTGACCTCAGATGACCTATCCATTTCAGTAAATGATATCCGGGTCATCCTCACCACTCCAGAGCCGGTGAGGGCCCTTAGAAACTGGCGTGGGGCCAGCTGGGATAACTGGGCTTTTAGGTACCGGTGCGGGGCCCTCAGACTTCGGCCCCAAGAGACCTAAGGGGGCTGGGGCCCTTAAGAGCCGGCGAGAGCCTTTAGATACTGGCATGGGGCCCTGAGATAACCTGCTAGATAACACCCGCACGTACCTGTTTAGGACTTAAAGTTCCAGTGCGGGGCCATCAGGCTCGGGCTGGGCCCTCGACTCTCCAGCATCGGGCTGAGACAAGCAAGCGCCTGTGAGAGGCCTTATTAGCCCGCATGAGCCCCGCAATGAAATGTGGATGTGCAAAAATTAGTGTTTGCAGTTTGCAAACCTAGGGATTTGCACCGTCTGCAATTGCACATGCCCTGCCCCCCCCCCCCCTTGCCGGAATCCGCATGGCCCCATAATCCAAAGTGTTTTTAAAAATATAATTTTTATGTATAATAAAATATCAACATTAGCGCAAAAGCTCTACAGCTACACGCAAAAACTCTACAGCCTTGCTTTTTATAAAACACTTAGGTATGTTTAACGTTACGGTCCGTTTGAAAACTCGGCCCGTATTAAAGGAAAAGGGCCACCTTTAACATGGGGATTGAAACTGAGATAGCCATCTTGTAGCCCGTGTCCGAAAACCTGTCTGTCTACCTCCTTACGGCCGATTTCGGCCTCCATTCGTAGTTATCGGCAATTTTAAAAGAAAATACGCCAGGAATGCGTCCTTATCCCAGGAATGCGTTCTTATCCGACAATACAGCCACCCGCGGCGAGGCTTTGGTTTTTTACCAATCAGCTCCAACCAGCTCAGCATTAACCAATCAGCTTATCTGACACAATCCGACGAGTCTGTCTTCTGAACGCTGATTGGCTTGAGTGTGACGTCATCACTATGCCATCATACAGTAGGTGCCGTAGAGAGTATCAACATAGTACCAATATGTTAAATAGTTTTAAATACTTTTTCGCGAATTGTGCACTTCTGGCACCAGTTTTAAAAAGAAAATTAAAAATAATAATGTCAAAATGAAAAACAACGATATCTTCATATTTCACGAAGGTGGCCCTTTTCCTTTAATGCTCGTACTGCCCGGCCCGTATCAATAATGGCCGGAAGGCCGGCCCGTATAAATTCGGGCCGGTCAGTAGGTAATCGGCCGGTATCAATAACGGCTGGGCAGTTCTAATACCGACCGGGCGGTATTAATACAACCCACTGTTTTCCTCACGGTAGTATATCAAAACTCGGGCCATATCAAAACTAAGCAAATAA